TACATAGTGTTCTAATAAAAACTTGGTTCTTATTGAGATTTGGCTAACGAGGGAACCGCCCGAGGTGCCCAACGCCGATTTCCATTATTCATACGTCGTTTGATAGAGAGCATCGAGATAGTAAAAAGCCTAAAAGAATTTGGGCTGACAGCTCTTTGAGTGCGTACTGTGACAACAGTTGTTGGAAAAGTTCCTGTTGATTCTGAATGTGTATGAATGTTGGGAAATGTTCATGTTTATTGTGAAAATAATCATGTATTTGATTGTATGCTGAATCAAGTAGGAAACTTGAGTCATAATTTCATATTAAACTGTTTTGTTGTGTTTTTTTTAGACAAATGTTGAAAATAATAATAATAAATTTTATTTAATGCAATTACTTAAAGGCAATGATTGTAAAAAATATTATGTTTGGTTACGTTGGTAAGAATTTTCATTTTAAATTATTTTATTTATTTATTTATTTTTTTGTCTTTTTTAAAAGGGGACGAGTTGGATATAATGAACAAAATAATTTAGAACATTTTGGTTGTGATTTAGATGAAGCAAAAAGATTTTTTTGTCAAAAGTATGTAATTTCGAATTTTAATTCGTTCCAATATAGATTAGAACAGACTAAATCGAATTCATTTGTAATCAGTTTAATATCAAATGAGACTTTACGATTTGTTATCAAATGTGAAAATATGATATGTCTAATAACATATAACGAGTGGACCATAATGAAACGAACTAATCGTAAATGCAATTTTTCAATCACTTACTATTCATATAAAATATTCATTTATATATCAAAAGATAGAGAATTCAAGTTCTAAAAAACTACTTACTCCATTTTTACAAAGAACTTTTTTAATTTTAAAGCAACCAACACACTGAGTTACATTGCATATCCCAGAGTCCTGCGGGATAAACTTTTTTCGAGTATCGAATTCTATTTGCCTTGTATGGAAAATTTTCGGGATTGTCCTACAGGACTCTAGTATATCCCTACTGCGGAATTAAAAACAAACAAAAAAAACATGTGACACCGCTACTGAGAAATTTACTAGATTTCTAAAGAAAAGAAAATATTCTAATTATCTATAGTTCATAAATTAATTTATAAATAAAATATTACATTCGTTATTTGAAAAATAATTAATTTTAATTAAAAATTTGATTTTTAATATAGAAACTAATTTTCTTTATATATATATATACGTTAGATTTAGTGATAAAACAAAGAATGATTTTTATTATCGTCATACGTTTACAAAATATCCTGGAAAATATGATTATGTTCAACTTGATTATAATCCATCGGTAAGATTATTAAACTTATAAGGGAACATATCCAACTGTCGGGTGCCGTTCGAGTGTCCATGTGTTACTCAGCCAGAGTTATGATCATTTTAGAGTAGGTTTTCTGTTTCTGGGGTCAGCTATTCATGGAAATCTTCATTATGAGATTTTTATCTGAAGCTTTGTCTACAGATAGTTTTCATAACCATTAGAATATTCTAAAAATTTCATCTCAAACGAATATATTTTTTTTGAAATATTAAGTGTTCAAGACAGCTCGATATCTCAAGAAGAATATGTTCGTTTGCGTTGAAATTTTTAAGATATTCTTATAGGCGTGAGACTTATCTATGGGCAAAATTTCAGATGAAAACCTCGTAATTGAGTTCTTCATAAATAACTGGTTGGGAGGCCGAAAGTCTACCAAAACGATCATAACTCTAGCGTGATAACACATGGGCCTGAATTATTTTAGAGCTTTCTGAGTTTGCCTGAGAAGGAAACAATTTGTTTTTATCAAATTCACAAGAACAAACAGTTTTCTTTGATGAAAGTAACTTGATATGAGCATATATCGATACGCACAAGCCGTCTTGTTATCACAAGTGAAGATATCACATCTATGTTTCTCAACCAAATTCTCATCAAATCGATCACTTATCATTTTCGGTAGCATAAAGGCGCAGTAGATAGAGAATTAAGTTGGATAAATAGATCCCTGCTTGTTCTTAAAAGTTTGACAAAAACGAAAAATAAGATGATATGTCTGCTAGTAAGAAGGAGCCACAAAATAAAAACGTTCGACAGTATCGTTTTTGAGGCCGAACTGGGGTAGCTACTCAAATATATTCTCTCGTGAATTCTACCAAAAGCCAAAATATGAGGTCGAACGGCATCTGACAGTTGGATATTTTTGCCTTGCTAATTTAAGTTTCTCATACGTATTATTTTTATTATCGATGTAGACATTCGAAAAAGTTGATGAAAACAATAAAAAACAACTCGTAGCTATTGAACAATTAAAAAGTCTACCTGCACCAGAATCAAAACTTGATAAACGTACACAAAATCTTATTCAATTAATATGTAACATACAAGCTATGGAAGAAGCATTACTTGAAATGAAATTTGATGCAAGAAAAAATCCTCTCGGTAACAAAAAGAAACGAACAAGCATTTTTTTCTTATCGATTTTCTTATTGTTTTTTTTCTACTTAGGTAAATTAAGTTCAACACAAATTAAAGCAGGTTATGCAGCATTAAGAGAAATTGAAACATATATAAAAACAAATAAATTTAATTCTGCATTTATTGAAGCAAATAATACTTATTATACTCTAAGTATATCTATTAGATACTTTTTAAAAAATGAATTTTCATTTTTTTTTTCGTTATTCTTTTCATTTAGTTCCACATGAATTTGGTCGAAATACTCCACCATTAATAAAAACTATTCAACAATTAAAACATGAAATTGAATTACTTGAAGCACTTGATGATATTGAAATAGCATTTACAACATTAAATACAGATCCAAATACACGTTTGAATCCAATTGATCAACATTATGAACAATTAAAATGTAAATTATATTCTATTGAAAAAAATGAAGATATTTATATATTAATTGATAAATATCTTCAATCAACACATGCATCAACACATCAACAATATAAAATGGAAATAGAATATGTGTTTAAAGTTGAAAGAGAAAATGAAAATACATTATTTAAAGATGTTGGAAATAAAATGCTTCTTTGGTATAAACAAAAATTTTTTTCTAAATATTAGATAATATTATATATATTAGGCATGGTTCACGTTTGGCTAATTTTGCGGGTATTATGAGGCAAGGTTTACGTATTGCACCACCTGAAGCACCTGGAGTAAGTAAAATTAATTTAAAATTTATATACTATGAATGTAAATGTGTTGAAAATGTAAATAACCAACAATCTCGAATTGTCTTCAAGCAACAAGAAATTCTAAGAATATAGAAATGTTGAAATAAAATAAAAAGCTTGCAAGAAAGACGTTCGGTACACGAGTTAATATTATATTGATAATGAGAGGAAGAAGAATACACCTGTCTTGCGGTATAGGGTACTGCTTAATGACAGATTTAGTAGCTCGATATCTTTCCTACAGCTAATATTAGCTGTAGCTCTGAACAGAAAGCCAGTCTAACGTAGAGTACTTACGCTTAATTGCTTGAGCTCTCCATACACACTAACTAATTATCAGAGTTGGTCAGAAATTCCGGTGGTTTTCTGATCCAGGCCGATATAATGCTGAGCAGTCTGCTTTGATCTTATTAGAAATGGTGTTTTTTTTTTTTGAGATAACTATTACTTGTATGCAACAAATGCCAACGTAAAAATCGGAATACTCAAGAAGACTACAAAGTGATGCTCTTCTGATCCAATTTTAGCTAATTAATGTTTCTTCATAAATGTTGCCAATTTTTCGAACTTTTTGTTACGTATAAATTCTACGCACTAAGTTATCTTGCCGATTACTATGTCATCGTACTGGACACTACGTTTTAATGAAAATGTATACCACTAAGAACTATGGAGTGGACCAAGTATTCATAGAAATAAGGCTTTTTATGAGAATCAATGAGAGATATTTGGGTTCGGTCCAAAATTCTGACCTCCCTATGCCACAACTCAGTCAGCATGCTATCGGACAGGTCAACCGAGATAAGCAGCCGTTAGTGACTGGTCCAAGATCATTCTATATCGAGGTTCGAATAGAAACTTGTGAATATGTGACGAACAACGTAGCCACGTAGTTATACCGATCTTTGGTAATAAGCATAGTGTGGTTGTGCTCGATTTTTAAGTAAATAAATGCCATAATTATTTCAAAGCTTCAAGTTGAGTTATGTTTTTGATTATTAACGGTAAAAACTTGAATATTTATTTTCTTTTGATAAGAATTACAGATCTGTTAGTATTAAAAATCATTGTATTGCAGGACTCTCGATAGTTTTTAGAAGTAATAAGGGCTAAAAACTTGACAGACAGTCGAAGATAATCTGTTTGGCAGAATGTAACTGAGAAAAGTTGTTGTCTAAAATTTCTCAGAGTTTTCCGACAAAAATGCAAAATTTTCAAAGGCGCAACGTAAAAAACAAGGAGAGGACTAGCCCGCCCTCTCGCAACGAGACCTATGATTGAAAATTAACTTTTTGCTGTTTGCATCTAAACGCAATATTAAATTTGATAATCTTAAAGATTATCCTATGATATTTATCTATTTCAAAAAGGGACAACTTTTGGTTCAGTACCAAATATACAAAAACTCTGTTCTTCCCAACAAAATTTCTATGTTCCATAGATTTCTACTACAAAGTTCTATTTTTGTATTTATTCAAATCAGAAATGTTTCTATAGAATGATGAATATTTACTTTTGTTTTCAATCTTTTACCCTAATCCACTAGAGTGTTAGGGTTTAGTCCACCACTGGAATACCTTATGCAGGTACTGATTACAATACGGATATGGTTGAATTTGGACGAAATCATTCCACTGTTGAGATGCAGAATGGGTCATAAATGACCCATTCTTCTTGAATGACATGAGAATTGAATTTATTGTTAATTTGATTTTTCTTACGTTTTTTCGTCGTTATGATGTTATTTTATCTGTATAAATCTGGAAACCTCATTATCACGAATTATTTTTTTTTTGAAAAAAGAATCATCTCAGGAGATGATGTATAGTTAGACACTTGCAAAGACAGCTATCTTCGGATTGAAATCAAGTCTTTCATTTCTAAGATTGTGCCAAAATCGTTAGCCTTCATTTTCCTTTTATAATATGAAATCATTCATTCCTATTATTACGGCCTCACCCGAATGAAAAGCCATAACAAAACGTTTATCGATAAGAAGTTATCCAAAAAAAACGTGGAATTCTTTTTGATTGGCTATTAGTTCTAATAAAATTTTTATCGTGAAGATCATGTTATTTAGGAGTTCATATTGAAAATAAAGCCATTTTTCATGTTGCTCACTACAAATAGATCAAAAATGATTCAAGTTGTGGGTAAAAGGTTAATTACACATCACTGATTATTTGAATTCTAAAGTTTTCGTATGATGTATGTAAATCTATTAGAAAATAATTTTTATTACAATAATTTAGACTGGTTATATGTTTGGAAAAGGTTTATATTTTACTGATATAAGTAGTAAAAGTGCTAATTATTGTTATCCAACACCAAGTAAAAATACTGGTCTTGTTCTCCTTACTGAAGTAAGTTTCGTTGTTTGCTTTTTTTTATTCGAACAACATCATCTTGATTATTCAAATTAGGTTGCACTTGGTAAATGTCATGAATTACTTCATGCTGATAATAATGCTCATCGATTACCAGAAGGTTTATCAAGTGTTAAAGGTCTTGGTTCAATAGCACCGAATTTAAAAAATGCAGTTACATTGTAAGTTTAATTCTGTTGTTCTCATTTTTATATAAAAAATAAACATGTGAATTTTGTTTGTTTTTTCAAAATAGAGATGATGGTGTTGTTGTTCCTATGGGTCCTGCTGAATCAACTAATGTAGTTAATCCAAAAGGTTATACACTTAATTATAATGAATATATTGTTTATGATACAAAACAAGTTCGAATACGATATTTAATTATATTAAATTTTTTGTTTAAATAGAAGTTATAGAACTGTTTAAAAAAAACCAAATATTAAAAATTGATAATCTATTTTTGTTAGATAGGTTTATATATGCATGTCAATCTCTATACTTAATTTTTTTTTTTTTGTGAATAAAAAGTGATAAAAGAAAAACAACATCATTCTGTCTGCAAATAGAAAGATTATATTTTTATTAAGAAAAAAAACAACTAATAATGGAAGGGGTATACAAAAATGTTGAGCATATTCGAATGGTCTTACCGGTAAAACAAAGAATTTTAAGGTATTTACAATGTATATAATGCGCCAAGAATTCGAAATTTCAATAGAATTTATTTTTCTCTTTTTGTCGTGGCTTGAAAGAGCTTTTCGAGTTACATAAGAAAAAAAAAGAATTTTATGAGAGTCAGTATTTGCCGGGTCTAAAGGGTGTCTCATAAGTTCTTGGTCACAATGAAAATTTGTCCATATGTAAACAAGGAGTGATCTCTGCTCAACTATATTTATATGAGCTTCGAGTACTTAGGACGATGTTTAAATGGCATATTATCCGATGACATTATCTCTTTTAATAACAGAACGTGATAATTAAAATCTCGAAATTGATCTGTACTATTTTAAGAAGCTTTAATCACCTATAAATTCATCGTATGTAACGTAACACAATTATACAAAGTGATACATGTAAAACATCGTGCTAAGTACTCGACGCTCATATAGATATAGTTGAGTAGGGATCCCTCTTTGTTTACATATAAGCTTATTTTCGTTGAGATCTAGAACTTACGGGACACCTTCTATTTATCCCCTATATTTGAAAATAAGGGTCTCGTGGAATTTTCTTTTACAATGTTTTCTTTTTGTATTTGAAACATACATTTTCTTATGAAATTTGACGAGCTCTATCCAACTATGACAAAAAGAGAACAATAAATCCTGCTGAAAGACGAATATAAGTGTCACGAAGATTTTTAACATCAGAACAAGATCTATGTACGTTAGTAAAGGAAGATGGTTCTTCCCCAGATCGGCGAAACCATATACACTAATTAGTCTAACTGGCAAAGCATGTAAACGAGTGTGGATGCTACGGTGTCGCTGATCTGCAGAAGTACCTATGAAATAAAATTTGATTACACATACATCATTAGATAGACGAAGTCTTTCTCTACTATCCTACTAAAATCCCGTTTGTGGGTCAAAACTTCATAATCGCCTTTTGAATTCTTGGCACATGGCGTACACTATAAATATCATAAAACTCGAATATTTCAGACCGTACATATTATAAGCAGCTCATATTTAGGGGTGTCAGCGTTCCCTGTTCCTAGGAACGGGAACGCTTGTCAAAATCGCATTTCCACGCTATATTTCAACATGGCGAGGTCTCTAGACATATTCACTTTTCTTTTTATGTTTGAGTGTTCAGCGTTCCCCGTTCCTAGGAACGGAACGCAAAGTTGACACCCCTAAATCACAGTTCAATTTCTTTGCAATTGATGATTGTCGTTTAAGATTCATAATAGATAATTTTTCAAGTAAAGGAAAAGACCAAGCAATTCGAATGAAAAATTCGTGTTCAAATGGAACTTCATCTTCCAATTTTAAACTTCGAACATAAGTAAAAATAATAGTTGGAAATCTATTACCAATATAATCGAGATCATTAAACATGAATGGTAATGAAAAGACGTGACATCTACCATGCCAATATGAGTAATTGACAATGCATTCCACTTGTTGAAATATAATGTTAGTAAAAGTTCGTTGAATATCATCTTTAGATAAACGATGAATTAAATTGTTTATTACTATGATCTCAGTACAAATACCAAAGTTAAACTTGTTAAGTCGTGGCATATAAACAAGAATTTCATTATAAATAGAAGTACCATCGATAAATGTAGTTCGATTTACAACAGTAAAATATAAAGTTAATTCTTCAAGATTTAACATACGACGAAAAAGAGGTAAAATTTTATTATCATATGTATCAATTAAACAAGAAAATCCTTTTAAAGAGAAACACCTCAAATTAGGTAGATCATCCTAGAAAATATAAAACAATATTTATAAATAAATAATTATACATAAAGAATAAGAAAAAACTCAGATGAATGACTGATTGAAAACGTTTGATTTTCTATTTAATGCATTTTCAAAAATATTTCTTCTATTCTATGATATATAGATCTTCTAGAATGATTGTCAACCATATTATTATAGTTATCTATGAGAAAAATATTATTTGTATAGAAAACAAATCATTTATAGAGATAAACATGATTATTACCATAACATTAAATCATCACTAAATTGAATTAAACAACTGTTGTTTATATTTAAATTTTCATTTAACAACTTATCATTTGACAACAAATTAAACTTATCTCCATCTACTGTTTTTTATAATTTAATAATCTTTCTATTCTCATCTATTATTTACAAATCTTTTACTTTATTTATTGCTTTTGATTCTAAGTTTGATCTCATAGTAATTTCTTGAACTAAATTTATTTTCAAAATATTTCATGATAATTATTTTCAGTCTTATTTTTGAAACATCACCTTTTGAATAGAAAAGGACATGATCAATAAATATAAAACAGTTTCTCTAACTAGATCAACATTCATTTTAAAACTATTTAATTATAGTTAATTAAAATAAAAAGTAACTCATTAATAAATAATCTATGTCTAATAGATATAACAATTACAACTGTGAACAATAAGTTTTATTTTAAGATAAAATAAAAAATAAAAAAAAAACGATTAATATATATATATAAAGAATAAAACTTACCATATTATAAATATTCGATATACGACAGTTTAGCATAGCAATATTAAGAATTAATATAGTTAATTGTTTAAGACGACGATCAAGTAAAGCATAACAATCTACAAGACTAGGGACATCAAGAGATAATTTGTAAAGAGTTGAACATAAACAAATAGTTATAGGTGATTGACGACAATTTAAATGTGGAAAAGGATATGGAAATAATCCAGTAATAGATAAATATTTAAGATTTATGAAGAAATTAAAAACATATGTATATAAATTGATTGTATTAAATTCTTCTGATATTTCATTAAAATTCTTTTCAAATATAAGAATAAGATCTGTTATTTGTTCTTGAAAAATACGTCGAAAAGGTGATTGATCTAAATAAAAAATAAATAAATAGATATTATCTTATCTAATTTATAGAAGAGTTTTTCATCGAAATCTTTACTCTGATTAGTATGTTGAGTTATTTACCTGTAAAATAACGTGAAAGAATTGTCTCATTAAAATTAAAAATTTTAACTTGAGTTAAATTAGGATAATCACCAGCAAGAAGAATTTTTTCCATAGATATTGAATCAAGAATAAGAGATTTAACATTGTTATGAATTTTTGGTAAGATATTTATACAAAATTGATTAAGTATTGGATCAGTAATCGAATATATATTATCAGTTAATGTTGTTAATACAAAATTAAGAGTATTAGTAAAAATATTTTCTTGTAATATAGTATCAAGTCGTTAATTATCAATACCTAATAATGAATAAAGTACATCTATATTATCGAGTTTTTTTAAAATAATAAATAATATTTCATTAGGTAAATCAAGAAGATTAATATTGGATTGATTCATGTTGAGTATGACACTAATACTTTTCTTGTTATGCATATATATATATATATGTGCATGTTCATTGTTTGTTCATCTCTATTACTATCATTCACTAAAATGAATAGATGACCTCGCCGAAAAATTATAGCGTCAAAGAGTAGTCTAATTAATTTAAGGATGAATACTTATTTTTTCTCGTCTATTGTGCGAAACGAAACAGATTAGATGAATTAAAAAACAAGGGAATTAAGGAATATTATTAATGTTTCTGCATAGCAAAATCAAACATATTTTTTTTATTTACTTTTAATTCGGATGGTTTGTTTGATTCTTATCTTTAATATTATTTTTCTCGCTAATTATTGTTCTTATTCATATAAAATCGAAGAAGTTATGTTTAAAAATCAAGATTCTTCTTAGTAAATTAGAAAGTTTGACAATTCTGAATGGAAATATTGATGATTTGATCATATTAGACAAAATTAATATGAAAAGAAAAACGTCTCATTCTCTTTTTTTTTGTTTATAAACAAAACCATAGATCTTATTTTAAAAAGTAAAATTGATAAAGATCTCTTTTTCTTTTCAAATATTCTATCATCTTATAATTATTTAGCTATTTACCAGAGAAAAATGGCTTTCATCAAAATTTGTTACAATTGTATTGTTAAACCTAATCGATGTATATTAGAACATCATAAATTTCATTAGTGATAGTGTTTTCGAACATGCAGAGCATTGACCATCTAACTATGTAAAAATCTCGAAATTGAATTTTTTAACCTAAAGTCAAAATACAATTCAACATATTGTCCAGCTCGTATTGAATTTGAAAGTCAGTCCTAGTATAAAGAGAGCTGTGCAAGTATGAATATAAAATGTACTCTAGGAAAAAAATATAAAACTTTATCATGCAAACAAGTAATCGTACAGCCTGCCTGCCTACAAAATTATTCGTGCTAATTACAATTGACAATCCTGATTCTGTGGGAACATTTGGGATTGCTCAGAAAAATTTTCATTACGGAACAAACAGGATTCAAATCTTGAAAAAGTTTCTTCCACAAGACTCTAGTACTAAGCTATCACACTCAAGATTACTTTCACATTTTTCTTGCCTTCATCGATCTTTCACTGGCAGCTATTCTTCTACATCTCTATGATGTATTGTAATTTCATCTTATGTATGCCTTCTTGTTCTGGCAAGTAGTTGAGTAGACAAAAGTATCAGTAGTGTCAAACTGAAATTACAAAAATCCTTGTCAGATGATCAAAAAATCTAATGTTTGAGAGAAACATTTTGTATATATGTATTTTCGTGAATAATTGAATTTAACTTTCAAGTCTGATCTATATGTCAGTACATGAATTCTTTTTTTTTCAGGAATATCGACATGATTATGATAGTAACGGCTGTTGCAAAAGTTCCTGGAAAATATTGCTTCATTTCTCATCGACCACACCATAACACGTTTTGACAAAATAAAAAATATCTATTCAGAATCTACGTTGAAAGCGCTATCTAACTGTATGTTCAAAAAATTTCTAGAATGTCTTGCCTTTGAGTAACGGTCACGTCCTTAGATGACACTGAAATGTACTACAGCTGTAAAAAAACAACCCACAATGACTATGGCAGAAGGAGCCGATCTTTAAGTAATGCCACAGTATTTTCTGCCGGATTCGTAGAGAATTAAACGACGAATGTAATGAGAAAAAGAGCCACAATATATGTCAGAATGCATAGGAGATATTCGAAAAATACTGAAATATCGGTTCCTTCTATATTCACAACATTACCATGATCATTTCTTTTGAGGATTAATCGCCAATTTTTTGTATTCTAACTGTTGTACAAATATTTCAAGTATAACTTTTGGTGATAGACTTTTTGGATTAAAATTGAGTTCAGAAACATCACGTTGCTATTCTGTCATATTTTCTTCCAATCAGTTTGAGTTCTAAATGTTGATGCGTCAAAACCCGATTTTTAACCGGACAGAAAGAATAATACAATTCTGTACAAGTATTCATTATCTCTCGATCGCATTGCGTCATTCACATCATATAGTGAATAGAGGAAACAAAATTAAGTAATATATTTCGTCGTAAAATGTCTGGAAAAATCTTAGAAAAATTGGCGATTTATCGAACGATAATCGTTTCGATTAATCACCCCTTTTTTTGTCGATTTCCACAAAATGAGCTTTTATTCAAGATAAACCAAGACTATCAATTTACTTTCTAGACATAATTATAACATATGATCGTATTTTACCACAACGAACTCAAGCCTATTCTACATCTATCACAACCAATACATTCATATTTATTAAATCCATTACTCAACATTCAAAGACGATCACACATGATAAACTTAAGATGACAAGAACAACTAGTTATACCAATCTCAACTAATATCAGATATACAACTGATAAAATAATTCTTTTAAAGCAAAGTTAAAAAAGTAAAAGTTTTTGAGGATATTTCAACTTTTTCAGAACAAGATAAGAATATTAATATAGTATTTTGATTACTAGACTTTGTTCTCCTATGATAAATAATAATTCAATTAGAATGAATGTACTTTTCAAGATGGTTTATTATCATAAGAACAGTGTTTTTAGAGCATGTGACTTTATGAAAGCATTTTTAAAAAATATTCAAGAATACAGAATTCAAAAAAAAATAAAAACTTGCTGTTTTTATTGTTGTATCTTCAAACTGGCTGATTAGTTATCATGTACTATTAATTGTCTGTATACTCAACAATACTTATACAGCACTAATCAGTCAATCAAATTCTCATGTAACAATTTAATAAATATTCATCTTCATTCACGAGAGACACTGCAATCATTTTACATTATATTAATGAGAAATAGACAAATAACAGATCTAGATGAATTTCTCTTTCTAGAATTTATCTCTATAGTACAGGGAACATAATGCTTTCTGGTATGCTATGGAAAGGCAGGCAGACAAACAGACAAACAAACATAGTAAACTCCTGTTTCTACATCTTATTCCTATAATCTAGACAGCGTGAATATATATGTACATAGTTTTTGAGAGTAAAAACAATGTATTTTATTTAGTTTATATAATTTACAATAACATATAACTATAATGAAAACTCTAATTCTGGATCAATTTATCTTCTCTTTCATAAACTAGCTTTTTTCTTACTCATATCAACCACATCTTATCATATGTAATTCTTTTTGACAAATATAATAATTTTATCTTTTTCCTATAAAATATAAAATAATATTGTTTCCTTATTTCAAGTTTTATTCAAGTAATAAATAACAATAATCAATATATTTCTGCATGAGGAAAATAGTCTTTTAAATCGAGAATAAGTTCTGACCTATTCTGTAAAAATAAACCGATGACTTTGGAACAATTAACTCGTGTTGCATCTCTTGTAAAATTGTCCGTTACTCTTCGTAAAGTATCATAAGTTACACGAAGATAAACATTATTTAATAAACAAGTTTTAGTATTAGTTAAAAATTGTTCGACATAATATTCATGATTCTCACTAAGATCAAGTTGAGTAAGATGAGAATATTGTATGATTGACCATTGTTGGTTATCATTCTTTGGCGGTTCATCATTTCGTAAATGTAATACTTCAATAAATGGAAATGATTTCTGAATTCGAAGAAAAAATTCACGTTCAAAAGGACGTTCATCGACTAATGATATTTGACGAACACATTTGAATAATCCACCAGAAAAATTATTCGTTATAGTAAAATAATGTGTCCATGTATATGGATATGAATAAATATGACAATGAAGTTCATTTGCTTTTGTAAAATAATCTACAGATGAAATAATTCGATTATTTTGAAAATTTTCAAATGTATTTTGAATATCTTCATTTGATGGTAAATTGACTATCTTATTCAGAAAAGCAGTTGAACGAATATTAAATGTGAATTTCTTTAATCTAGTCAAATGATTAATTATATTCTTTTCCAAATGATTACCATCAATTAATGGTCCGTAATGACTAACAAAACACAAACCAAGTTCTTCCAAATTTGACATTCGTTGTAAAAGTGGAACAAGAAATTTATTGTAGATCAATAACACCGATTTATAAGTTAACGAAAAGCATTTTAAATTGGGCAATTTCTTCTACAAAAACAAAAGAAAAATTAACCCTTTGAGTCTCGATGACGCATATATGCATCCGAATGCAGTTATTTGGCAACGGTGCTCCTAGTATATTTTTTATTTCTTTAGAACTTTTTTTTATCGTTTATTACGTGATGTCGCGATGCAGGCGTGGATAGAATGTAGGTGAGGATGAGTGGATGCGAGTGTGGGTCGAATGTAGGTCGAGATGCGGTGTAGGTGCGGGTATTAGCATTGTCTTCACCTACACCCATAGTCACAGCCACACGCTGCACGATATATTTGTCCTAAGTGCGATACGCCTCAATTTGTTGTTGATTACTTCAAAGACTACCATACATAGATGAACTAGTAATGATTTTTTGATATAAAAATGTAATTTCTTCATAAAGAAATAAAGATCTTATTAAAAAAAAGGATCCCATCGGAGAAGATCGAAAATCTGCCACCTTCTATATCTCATCTTTAACAGACTGTACACTAAAATAATATCTGTCGCAAAGCGCGACACATTCAAATGCGACACGAGGAGCTCGTTGCAACACTTTTTTCAATGGTGATTAGAATCTACTACAGAGCACAATTTTAATTTTTTTCTTAAAAGCAAATTATCACATATTTTTCGGTTTTGTTTCATTTTAAGATTTCTATTCTGAAAAACTCAAGCGAGTCAGATATGGAAATCTGTCCCTCCTCGAGTCGATCGGATCTCCATGGGACCACTTCAGGGCAGTCCTCTCTCGATCAACATCGACATTTTCTCGACTAACAAAAAATCAGCAAATAGTCAAAAAAAAAAAAAAAAGAAAATCTATAATTTTCATGTGTTCAGCTGATTTTTTTATATGTCGCTGTATCTCCAAAACAAAATGATGAATGAATAGACAGGAGACAGAACGAAACAAATCTATACACGACACTTTCTGGCCGCGAGCCATTTCCATCATTAAGTCTGCGATATTATAATTCACGATACATCAGTGCGAAACATTTTATTGTAGTGTGTAGAAAGATAGAGCATGAAATTCTGCATATATCCAGTCTCCGCGCAAGGGTCCCAGGATGGGGTGTGAGTGTGGGGAGCTCCAAGGCAGTCAAGATCGAGGAACGCAAAATTTTTTTCACCTCAGATCTAATGTTAATCTTCCTCTATTGACCTAAAATGCAACAATTTTTCGCGAAGCGACAACTTTTTGCAATCATCTTAAAAACTTCGACATTTTCTGGCAAATGTTTAAGAAGAAAACTCAAGTCGAATGTGAGAAAATTTCTCAATCGTATCCGTAGTCCTTGGATATCCTAGATAATCCAAGAAAGACGTTATTCACAAATATGATCACCATACCATTTTATATAGAGCACACAAATATATGTTGATCTACCCTATTGGTTTTTCTATGAGCTTTATAAAAGATAACTTCATGTTTATCATAGTTATTTTCCGGAAGACCCAATAATCGTATGCATCCCACAGCAATGTAGTCTTAGAAAGTTTTGTTCTTAGGTTGAACTTAAAACAAAATAAATACACTGATATATGCAATATTTCATGCTATCTTTCTAGTCTATTAAAGATGAGATATACGAGATAGCAGATTTTCGATCTTATCCGGCGGGGTTCTTTCATTAAAAAAAAAAATTCGAGTGACGCAAAAAAAAAGCCGGAACTCAAAAGGTTAATGAATATTCAGAAGTACTATTCATGCATTCATTCAAAACAAAGATTAACATAAATAACTTGCCTCGTTAACAATCATGGATAAGTGAAGAAGACTAAGAGAACAAATTGTAATATATAGCGTATGAAGTTTATTCAATTGGTCATCAAGTAAATCAAGACAATCTTTGATAGTGGGTACGACGACGTGTAATTCCAATAGAGTTGAAGGAAAAACAATTGGATGTGATAAACCATATCTTAATTGCTGACTATCGAAAGATGCATTGAACTTTAAACATTCTAAATTGTTGAACATAGTAAAGATCTGTCGAAATATAAATATATGTATATCTGTAAATAGCATTCTTGGTTCCACACGTTCTTTAATATCAATGGAAAGAGATGAAATTCGGTTTTTGAAAGCACAAATTAAATAACTTCTATCTAAATAAAAATTGCACATTTTTATTAATTTATTTCATAGTTTTCATTTTGTTTATTAACTTAAAATAGTCTTTCCTCTTTATAGATTTGTATAGTTTTGGTGAAAGGAAGTTCGGTTTATTCAATAACACTAACTGCATAGTGTGTAAAAATAAGAACAACGTAGAAAGAAATAGACAGATCAAGAGAATATATATATTCCATATACATATGTATGGCATGTAAAGAAAGAAAAAAATCTGTGTATGAGCCATTCCATATAAGCCACAACCGAATCTCTATGACAGCACTCCATCGATATTCTCCGATTTGACTGATTTTGACATATGTGATAGAGGCAAG